CCTGGCCTCGGGCAACTCAGCCGCGATGCGGAGCATTCTCCCGAGTACCAGCGGGGCGGCCGCGGCGTGATCCAGCGCGCGCTGCGGGACGGGAAGTGCCGTGGGCACACCGCCAGCAGCAGCAGAAGCGAACGAACCGAAGACCGCGCGCTTGTGGCTGATTACCCTGGAAAAAAAGCGAATGCTTCCGCCTTCGTCTGGCGCACCTCTGGGATCGCGACAATGCTGTCCGTGATCAGCGCGTGGAGGTAGCGTCCTGGTGGATGCCCTCCTTGCTCGCCAGCGTAGCATGGCTCTGGCGTTCCAGGGGGGAAGACCAGGGAGCTGGGGTGTGAGTCGAAGCTGGCAGCGGGCTTGGCATTGAGGGCCAAGAACTGGTTAAAGGCTCCATTACGGTGAGGCGCCTGGCTAGGCGATGGCGTCGATGCCGATCTTGAAAGTAGTGCGATCCCAATGGCGAACCGCCATGCCCACATCGTTGATGAACTCGAACGCCGTCGGTTGTCTACCTGGGTGCGGGGTGGCGCGGATGAGCGGTGTCCAAGCTTCGGAGATCCAGCCGTACTCGCGGTCGAAATAAAGCTTGAGGTCAGGGAACAGGTGTCGCATGGTATTGAGCAGCCTCTTCCCGCGGGTTCCGCGTCGGATTTGGACCGGGTTATTGTCAAGCCCAATGTGGAGCTGCGCCTGGGCGCCTGTCGCACTAGGAAGTGGGGACCGCACCCAGCCACGGTCGAGCTTAAGGGGGTCGGGGTCCTTGCACGCCCTGCTGCCAACGAGGCCGACAACGCCCGTAAAGTGAATGGTGGAGGGATTGCACTACGCTTCGCCGTGAGCTCCCAGATGCCGTCCAGCGTGATGTTGTTTAGCCCGTGCAAGACTGAGCTCTGAACGTCTCTCCTCTTGCAGACGAGCGGAGCAGTGACGTTGATGACTGTGGGACCGATGTTCTTCTTGACGGCGTGATCAGAAGGCCGATGAAGTTGAGGCGCCTGGTCCGCCACAGCGAGAGCGGCCTGCAGCTCTTTGATATCCTGCGCGAGGGCCAGCAGCTTCGTCTCATGCTCGCCAACGGTGACCTCAACAACTTCGATGTGCAACGAGGTGCCGTCGAGCTGCGACTGGAACCGCTTTTCCATAGCATCAAGATCAGGCCTGAAAGTGGCAGAGGCCGCGGCAACGGAGGCCTGCGGGGCGTTCTTGACTGCAAGCTGTAGGGCGTCCAGTGCGGCACCCAATGGGTCGACGCCTGCCTTGACCTCGTCGCCCGCCACGGAAGCGATGGAGGCCTGGATCTGGTCGCGCTGGGCCGCGCAGCAGGCGCGGATGTGCTCATGGAGGTCGTCGTCGTGATCGTCGCAGCACGCCCACTAACACCACGCAGGGTTTCCTTCCAGGGCTGCTCTCCACTGCGCGTCGGCTTCGCCTCGGGACCATCAGGCGTGGACTCACCGTCGCGGGGCGGCAGCGACTCTGGTGAGAGTGCCGACCATTGCGCGAGCAGAGCGGTCGACCGAATCCCCAACAGGGGTGTACATTGAAGGATGCTGGCCGCGGGCTAGCGTATCCACTTCGTCCCCTGGGTGGCAAAACATCTTAGGCCAAAATGTCGACGGAGGAGGAGGAGTAGGAGGAGGAGAAGGAGACTCAGGGCTCTCGAGGCTCGAGCTCTTCCGAGACCTCCCCTCGGCGCGGGGGCGGCTTGGAGGTTGCCGAAGGCTTTGTTTGCTCTTGGAAGCTTGCCCGCCTCGGGATGCTTTCCATCGGCTGCGCCCCGCCGGTGGCCTTCCGGGGGTGCCCAGGTCGTCCCGAGCGGCCGTCTGGCAGCCGAGCTACGACCCGACGACCAAGCCCCATCGCGTCGTAGAAGCGAGCACGGTAGGGGGCTCTTGGCCGATCGCGGCCTCAAGGGGGGGCGCCACTGAGCACTGCTTAGGGGACCCCTATCCCCACGGGCGTGGCCTGGGCCCCACTGGCCGTATTACCCCCCGAAATGGGGATATGGGCTGGCTCCTTCGGGCTTCGAGGGCATATATCCCCAGCTGGGTTGCTGAGATGGTGAGGGTCTGGATAGGGACAGGGATGGGGATAGGGGCCGGTTAGGCCCTGAGACCGTCAAAAAACGGCTCGGAAGAGACTGGTTTACGAGCGACGAGCATAACCGTATCCGCGCTCTCGCGATCTGGATTCCAGGGCGCGATCCCGCGGATGCGCGGTCGCACGGATACGTTCCGCGCGGGGCATCCGTGAAAAAAACACCCCGTCTCCGCAGGATCGCGACCCAGGGACCTGGCCCGCGGGGCCGTGGATACCAATACGTTTCTTCACCCACGACTGGTCATGGGGAAGGGGTCTAGATCTTCGGGGGCTCGCGCTGAAAAGAAAATGCCGCGTCGGAGGCCGAGGTTCGAGGATCGAGGCTCGAGGGATCGAGGGATCGAGGATCAAAAATCGAGGTTTGAAGAATCGAGGTTCGAGAATTCGAGCCGGCGGAGTCCGCGCTGTCGAGCCTCCCAGAGATCCTTCTGGCGGAGCCGAACAACTCAGACCTCAAGGTTCGAGGTCAAAGTTCGAGGATCGCGGATCGAGGGTCAGGGAGTCCTTCTTTACCCTGTTCGGGGAGCATCTGGGGGGCCTCTCGTTGCCACGGTTGGATTCCCTGTCAAATTCCTGTCCGAGGACCCATGCCTCCAGAACTAGGAGATATCGAGGCTGGACTCTGTCTTTGAGTTTTTGGCATCTGGAGGCCGTTTTCGGGCCCATGGAGCGTCCAGAGACGACTCCGGACGAAGAGCTGGTCCTGGGGCAAGGGTCAAGAGGACCTTGGCCTGGAGACTCGAAAACATCAAGTCGTCGGAGGTCTGCGAAGAAGGAAGGAAATAGGTCCCGTCGAAGGCCCAGGGCGGGCGGGACGCCCGGAGGTCTGGGAAGAGCGGGCCTGCTCTTCCGCCTCATGGCTTTCCTCGTCTGCTGGTGCTGGGGGACCCTGCTCGTCGACACGGCTGGACACAGCTCGCACAACTTGACACGTGAGGGGACTGAGGGCCAGGTTTGCACGGACCACGGCAGGGGGAGGGCGGCAGGACTCCTCGGCGGCGCGCAGAAGGGGGAAGGGGGCGGGGGGGAAGGCTGCGTGGAGGGAGGGGTGCTTCTGAGAAGCCTTCCCCCCTCGCCCTCCTCTCCTTGTGCGCGCCGCCAACCTGGAGGACCCTGCGAGGGGTCTGCGAGCCAGGACTTCTCGGCGGCGCGCACAAGGGGGTAGGGGGAGGGGGGAGGCTTCTAAGCAGCAGGTGTGCGTCTGAGAAGCCTTCCCCCCTCCCCTTTCCCCCCTTCTGCGCGTGGCTGCACTCCACTGCTCGTCCTCCACGATCTTGACGCTCCTCTTACCCCTGCTGACCTCTCGGAACGCCCTCGTGGCCGCGGCGGCGGAAACGCAGCTTGACAGGTCGGCCAGGCTGGGCCCTCAGGGAGGGGGCGTGGCCAGGGCGGCAGCTCCGAGCGGATTTTGGGCGGTGGGGGCGGTGGCTCAGGGCTACAATCAAAACTGATAGCAAGAATGCGCGAGAAGGCTGCCGAGCCCAAAGCGGCGCTGGTCAACGGCACGCTGAGCTCATTCTTCCGCAACTAATTAAGCACAGAGCACCCGAGCGCTTTTCAGTGGCGCTGGTGTACGGCACGCTAGGCATCTCTGCAGATCGAAAGTTCTACGCACGCAACTTGGTTCACCGCGGACGAGTGCCAAGGTAAAATACCTCAGAGCAGAAGAGGGTGCAAGCCCCTTGGACGCCCATGTCGAAGCTTTTCTCGAGTGGGGCTGGCCATCGAAAGGGGTTAAGGATGGAATGAGGAGGCAAGGATGCAAGGGTACCCTTGAGAAGGTTACACATCCTTGCCATCGATTTCGACTGTAGTGGGGGGGAGGCCCTTCTGAGAGGGCTGAGGGCTTCTCAGAAGGGCCCCGAAGCTTCCAGCCCAGACATCTGACGCCATGCTTTTGTTCACAACGTGGCTCCCCAGCGGTCTGGACCCCTTCCCAGGAACAGTCTCATCATCCCGAGTCGTTATTGATAGCCCTGGGTCTCAGCAAGGGCCCGCGGAGGCCGAAAATGGGCATAAACTTCTCCCGCCGTGCCTCTTGTTCAAGGCTTCTTAGAAGGCGTGACGGCTTCTAAGAGGCAAGATCAGTTAGCATCGAAACGGGGAAATGGGATAGGATCGAGACGCACGTCGGGTCCCCCTGCATCGGCACGGAGTCGAAATCGAATCAATTCGGCCTCGCCAGGCTGCACGACAACGCCAGGCAAACATCGAGCCGCATCGGATCGTCAGAAAGCCAGAATCGAATCGGGTCGAACTGGCCGAAATCGATGTCGATGTGGAAGCGACCGGATCGAATCGAAGTAGGCCCTCTGGAGAGACACCCCTTGCCTCTTCACAGATCCGATGTCTTAATTTGTACATCCCAGTAAATCCTGGGTCCCCAGAAACGCGGACCCCTTACCCAGGGCTGGCCTTTCATCCAGAAACATGTTTTCACACTCCCAGGGCCTGGCGAGGGCTCCCAGAGACCGAAAACTACGAAAGAACGCCGTCGCGATGTTTCGATTCGTTGGAGGTCTGGGTCCTCCTCCCTCCCTCCCTCCCCCCCTCCCTCCCTCCCTCCCTGCCTCCCCCCCTCTCCCCCTCCCGCCATACCTCCCTCCCTCCTCCTCCCTCCCTCCTCCTCCCTCGTTCCCCCTCCCTTCCCCCTCCCTCCCCCCTCCCCCCTCCCTCCTCCCTCCCTCCTCTCCCGCTCCCTCTCTCTCTCTCCCTCTACCTCTCCCTCTCTCCCTCTCCCTCTCCCTCCTCCTCCGCCTCCTCCTCCTCCTCCTCCCTCCTCCTCCTCCTCCTCCTCCTCCTCCTCTCCTCCTCCTCCTCTCCCTTGCCCTCGCAAAAGGCCCCCCCCCCTCCCCCCCCACTCGCCCCAAGACACCCGCCCGTGCGTCCGCACGCCCGAACGCCTGCGCGCCAGGGGCACCGCATACGCGGACACGACGTACGTCCCCGCGGCCTCGCACTTCCTCTCGGGGATCGTCAAGGAACAGAAAACTGCATAAGCATAACTAACACGATCCAGACGTCCCAACAGCGATATCTCTGGGAAAAAATGGAATCTCCTCCCAGGACCCCGAACTTTAATCATCCCCATGGGATGATTATCTCGGGTGAGGGGTTCAGTTTTCGGAGCTCCGCACGGACTTTTCGGATCGGCGCTGGGACTCCCGGGCGGAGCCTCCGGGACCGGAGCGGGGTTCCAGCGCCGATCCGAGAAATCCGCGCGAACCTCCGACAATATTCACGTATACTCTTTGTTCTCCGAGATCGAGGGCCAGGGACCCGGCTACACGCAAGAGTGGCCCTGGGTAAGGGTGAGCTTTGGTGCCTGGCGTTTGGGGGGCCGCGGGGGGCCAAACACCAGCGCGGGAGGCCAAACACCAGCGAGCACGACGCCACTGTCGCCCCGCGCTCGGCAATCGGGGGGCCCCACTGGGCCCGCACTCAAGGTCCCTCCGGCGAATGATCACTCTTACATGCAGCCGATGCCTTTCGGGCGTCGAGGGTCAGGGGCCGGGGGCAAGGCAAAGAAAAAGTGTGGATGCCAGGGCTCGGGCTAAACTGTGGGTGCGTGTGTCCGTGTGTGCGTGTGGGCATGCGTGCGTGTATGCGTGTGTGCGTGTGTGCGTGTGTGCGTGCGTGCGTGTATGCGTGTGTGCGTGCGTGCGTGCTTGCGTGCGTGCGTGCGTGCGTGCGTCTGTGCGTGTGTGCGTGTATGGGGGTGTGCGTGTGTGCGTGTGTGCGTGTGTGCGTGTGCGCGTGTGCGTGTGTGCGTGTGTGCGTGTGTGCGGGTGAGCGTGTGCGTGCGTGCGTGCGTGCGTGCCTGGGTGCGTGGGTGCGTGGGTACGTGGGTACGTGCGTGCGTACGTGCGTGCGTGCGTGCGTGCGTGGGTGGGTGCGTCCGTGCGTGCGTGTGTGCGTGCGTGCGTGCTTGTGTGCGTGCGTGTGCGTGCGTGCGTTGTGTGCGTGCGTGTGTGCGTGCGTGCGTGTGTGCGTGTGTGCGTGCGTGCGTGCGTGCGTGCGTGCGTGCGTGCGCGCAGGCGTGCGTGCGCGCGAGCGTGCGTGTGTGCGTGTGTGTGTATCTGCGTGTGTGTGTGTATCTGCGAGTGTGTGTGTGTGTGCGTGTGTATGCGTGTGTGTGTGTGTATGTGTGTGTGCGTGTCTGTGTGCTTGTGTGTGTGTGGGGGGGGGGGGCGGGTGTGTGTGTGTGCGGGGGGTGTGTGTGGGGGCGTGTGTGTGTGTGTGCGTGTGTGTGTGTGGGTCGTGTGGGTGTCTGCGTGTGTGGGTGTGTGTGGGGGTGTGCGGGTGTGTGGGGGGTGTGTGGTGGGGGTGTAAGGTGTGTGGGGGTGGTGCGGTGCGTGGGGGTGTGTGTGGGGGTGTGTGGGGGTGTGTGGGGGTGTGCGTGTGTGTGTGTGTGTGCGTGCGTGTGTGTGTTTGTGTGTCTGTGAATGCGTGAGTGCGTGTGTGTGCGCGTGTGTGCGTGCGTGCGTGAGTATATGTGCGCGTGCGTGCGTGCGTGCGTGCGTGCGCGCGGGCGTGCGTGCGTGCGTGCGTGCGCGCGTGCGTGTAAGTGTATGAATGTGTAAGCTTGTAAGTGTGTAAGTGCGTAAGTGCGTAAGTGTGTGCGTGTGTGCGTGTGTGCGTGTGCGCGTGTGTGGGTGCGTGCGTGTGTGCGTGTGTGGGTGCGTGCGTGTGTGCGTGTGCGCGTGTGCGCGTGTGCGCGTGTGCGCGTGTGCGCGTGTGCGCGTGTGCGCGTGTGCGCGTGTGCGCGTGTGCGCGTGTGCGCGCGTGCGTGCGTGCGCGCGTGCGCGTGTGCGCGTGAACGCGTGTGCGCGTGAACGCGTGCGCGCGTGCGCGTGCGCGTGCGCGCGTGCGTGTGCATTTGCGCGTGTGCATGTGTGTGTGCGTGTGCGTGCGCGTGTGCGTGCGCGTGTGCGTGTGGGCGTGTGCGTGGGTTCGTGTGCGTGTGCGTGTGCGCGTGTACATGTGTGCGCGTGTACGCGCGCGTGTGCGTGTGCGTTGCGTGTGAGTGTGCGTGTGCGTGTGCGTGTGCGTGTGCGTGTGGGTGTGCGTGTGTGTGTGCGCGTGCGTGTGCGTGTGCGTGTGCATGTGCGTGTGCGTGCGTGTGCGTGTGCGTGTGCGTGTGCGTGCGTGGTGCGTGTGCGTGTGCGCGTGTGCATGTGCGTGTGCGTGTGTGCGTGTGCGTGTGCGTGTGCGTGTGGGTGTGCGTGCGTGCGTGTGCGCGTATGTGCGCGTGCGTGTGCGCGTGCGTGTGCGTGTGCGTGTGCGTGGCGTGTGCGTGTGCTGTGAATGTAAGTGCGCGTGCGCGTGCGCGTGCGCGTGCGCGCGTGTGCGTGTGCGTTGTGCGTGTGCGTGTGCGTGTGCGCGTGTGCGTGTGCGTGCGCGTGCGGTGCGCGTGCGCGTGCTCGTGTGCGTTGTGCGTGTGCGTGTGCGTGTGCGTGTGCGTGTGCGTGTGCGTGTGTGTGTGTGCGTTTGGGTGTGCGTGTGCGTGTGCGCGTGCGTGTGCGTGTGCGTGTGCGTGTATGTGTCTGTGTGTGTGCGTGCGTGTGCTTGTGTGTGTTGTGTGTTGTGTGTGTTGTGTGTGTGTGTTATGTGTGGTGTGTGTGGTGCGTGTGGTGTATGTGTGCGTGCGTGTGTGTGTGCGTGGGTGGATGGGTGCGTGAATGGGTGGGTGGGTGTGGGTGGGTGGTTGGGTTGGGTAAGTGGGTGTATGGGTAGGTCGGTGTGCGTGTGTGTGTGTGTGTGCGTGTGTGCGTGTGTGCGTGCGTGCGTGCGTGCGTGCGTGCGTGCGTGTGTGTGTGTGTGTACGTGCGTAGGTGTGTGTGGTGTGGTGTGGTGTGGTGTGTGGTGTGGTGTGGTGTGGTGTGGTGTGTGTGTGTGTGAGTGCGTGCGTGCGTGCGTGCACGTGTGAGTGTATGTGTGTTTCTGTGTGCGTGTGTGTGTGGTGTGTGGTGTGTGTGCTTGACCATGTGTGTGTATGTCTGAGTGTGCATGCGTGTGTGTGTGTGTGTGTGTGTCTGTGCGTCTGTGTGCGTGCGTGCGTGCGTGCGTGCATGCGCGTGTGTCGTTATCGTGTTGTTGTCGTGTTCCTTCGTTATGCCTTCGTTCTGCCTTTGCTGCGAAACGAAGACAAGACGAAAACGGCCCAAGAGATCGCCAAAGCACCGTTTAGCTCGAGCCACGGTGGATGCGGAAGGGGTGGGTCCTCGTCTCCTCCATCAGCAGGGCACCCCCGGGAAAGGCGTGCAGAACGGAGGAAGAGGAGGGAGGAAATGCGAAGCGGGGATTCATCTATATCCACCGCCGGGGGACCGATGTCCTGGGGACCCGGCGGGCGGTGGATGTGGATACGTAGATAGATGTGTACATGTAAATGTGTACGAGTGTGTATACATTCATGTGTATTCGTATATATGTGGCTGTATACATATATGTATATATCACTATATAGATCCATCTATATACGTATCTATATAGATATACTAGAACCATCGCGCGCGCTTCGCGCGCGCTCAGGTTCTACCAGGCCCCAGGCCTTGACGAATTCACTGCTCCACTGAAGTAGTGGACCACAGTCCACGCATGCCTATCTGCATTCCGAAAGGCCTTCGAGGAAAATGGTTGTGTAGGGGGGCGGAGGCCGTATGAATCGGATTCCCAGAAGGCCTTCTGGGAGCATGAATTTGGGGCATCTTGGGGAGCTTGTTGGGGCGTGCCGTCGTCATCGTCGTCGTCGTCGTAATGTCGTCGTCGCCTATTGGGGCGCGCCGTCGTCGTCGTCGTCGTCGTCGTCGTCGTCGTCGTCGTCGTCGTCGTCGTCGTCGTCGTCGTCGTCGTCGTCGTCGTCGGCGCCGTCTTCGTCGTTTCGTCGTCGTCGTCGTCGATCCAGAAGGCACTTGGGGCAACTTTGTGCGAAACGATCTGCGGAGGGCCGCGAGAAGGCGATCAGTCATGTTCCCAATCAACTTCCCAGACAGCTCTCCTGTAGCATGATGGTACTTCGAAGCCTCCGGAGACTCGCGGGCGAGGCCGTGAGGGAGCGCTGGGAAGCGGGAAAAGCGAGAACGCCTAAATACTTCAAAAACCATTGGAACATTAGTGAATCTTGCCTCCCAGGGCCCTCTTGGGGAGCCTCTTGAGTCCGTCATGGAGCGTGTTGGAGTCCTCGTCGGCCGTCTTGAGGGCATCTTGGGCGTCTTCGGGGCCTCTGGGGACCGTCTAGGGCCCTCTCGGGACCTCCATTAGCCTGTCGTGGCCTGCTTCGGGGCGGGCCCGGGCCGCCTACCCCTCTGGGCCTTCTCTTGGCGCGCTCTTGGGGCACACTTGGGTTGCCTGGGGAGCATCCTGGGCCGTCTTAGGGCCCTCGTCGGGGCCTCGTGGGCCTTCTTGGAGCGATCTGAAAGGCCTCCGAGGCAATGAGGGAGCGCTGGAAAGCGGGAAAAGCGAGAACGCCAAAATCCAAAACACTCGGAAAACGACTGAATCTTGCCTTCCAGGGCCCTCTTGGGGAGCCTCTTGAGTCCGTCCTGGAGTGTGTTGGAGTCCTCGTCGGCTGTCTTGCGGGCATCTTGGGCGTCTTCGTGGCCTCGTGGGACCGTCTTGGGTCCTCTCGGGACCTCCTTAGCCTGTCGTGGCCTGCTTCGGGGCGGGCTCGGGCCGCCTCGGGAGCTCTGACCCCCCCGCAACCCCTGGTGGCACCGATGGGGGGAACGAGCAGCGGCCCGCCCCCCCCCGGGCCTACTCCGAGATAGAGAATCATGTTCCCGGGAAACTTTCCGGCAGCATGATTTGTTCCGCTCTCTGAGAGGGGGGCCTCTGGGGGCTTACCGAGGGGCGCCTTTTGGCCTTGTCGGCAAGCCAATTGGAAACACGGTTGGGGCGGCGGGCGGAAAGCCCAAGGAATCATGTTCCCAGAAAGCTATCTGGGAAATACGATTTACCGAGGTGTCTTGGGGGTCCGCAGGGGGCTTCCCTGGGGGTCGCTTGGGGGCCTATTGGGGCTTCCGGGGGGCCTCTTGGGAGCCTCACGGGGCTTCTTGGGAACCTCTTGATGGCCTCCGGGGGCGTCCTGGGAGCCTCTCAGGCCGGAGACCTCGAAATGTCGCGCTCTTCGGGCCCTCTTGGGTCGCTCTTGGGACTCTCTTGGGGCGCTCTCGAGGGCCTTTTGACTTATCTAGGGAGCCTCCTGGGCCGTCTCTGGGCTTTCTTGGGAGCCTCTCCGGCCGTCTTGGAGCGATCTAAAGGGCCTCTGACGCGGTCCGGGACCGTGGGGAGGCAGAACATGGGAGAGAGCAAGAATGCTTCAAAAACCATAGGAAAATGTATGAGTGTCTGCTTCTGGGGCCCTTTGGAGGGGCCTCTGAAGGTGTTTTTTTGTATGTCTAGCGATGCGGACTGTATACAGTTGCACGGCGGTGTGGCTCAATCCTGCAGCGTAGCTCTCCGCGGCAGGGAATCCTACCTGATCTGAAGGCAACGGCTGCAAGGTCCAGCTCCTAAATACGCAACCATGCTGCGAAAAAGCGGGCTGACCTAGAGGGCCTCGTGCCCCTCACCTGGCGTGCCTACCCGAGTGCGTAGGCACTGGGAACAACTCGCTCGAAACCTGCAGCATGGACCTAAGCTGGATGGCGAACAACTCAGCAGGACCGCCACCGAAAACTCCGAAAACCTGCATCGTGCCAAAACTCGTGGCTGCAACCGGGCCAATTTGGCATCCGGGCGGCCCCGAAGAGCCTCTGCTCCGAGAGACGGCACTGGAATCGCGGCGGGGCACCGCCGCGGCTCTGCCCCCGCCTGTTTGCCAGGCGTCGCGTTTTCCACTTTCCTCCTGAAACCAGAACTAGGCCTTCTCGATAGACTCTGCCGATGTTCTTGGACAGCGACGTCCGCATCAAGACAGCCGTTGGGAATGTGCCAAGTCGCGAGGACGCCCCCAGCGATTGGAAGGCGGGGGAGACAGGTAACCGCAGAGGGTCTTTCATGCTGCTCACCCCCGTCCCCCGAAGCTCTCGGCTGAGAATAAAACTCGTCCTCCCCCACGTCGTCCCTCTCAGTAGTAGTAGACGGCGGAGGCCTTGAGGCTTTGAGGATGGCGCGCGGCAAAAGGCCCTGGTGAAGGGGCACCGTCGCGGGCGCAGCGGGTCCGGGCCTCGGCGCTCGGCGCCGAGCGGCATGGACGCTGGGCGGGCACGAGGGCCCACTCGCCAGCGCTGCTGCGTGGAGGCTGCCGCAGCGAAAGCAACCTCAAAACGGGCACTCCTCCTCCACCACCTCTCCTCCACCTCCTCCTCCTCCTCCTCCTCCTCCTCCTCCTCCTCCTCCTCCTCCTCCTCCCAGTCAGAGCGTCCCAGCACGCGGGTGAGGGGGGCGCCACGTGGCCTGCAGGCGGCCAAGAGCGAAAGAAAAAGAGCAATGGCACGGCTTGGTCTCGGAGCCGCTGGCGGTTGCACCGGCAGTCCGGAAGTTCGCTCCCAACTGCTTGCAGTGACCAGCGGCTCCTAGCAAATCACAGCAAGGTGGCACGACCAGCCACGCGAATCTGGGCGGGCGTTTGGAACCCCAGTCCCACTTGTGCGGAGGCTAACCCTGTAGTGGCAACCTCAAATTGTTTTTCTCATCACCGCGCACGTGCTCCCAATCCTGCCAGGGACTGCTTGCACGCTGTATGAAGAAGAGGGCGGGCCTTGGCCCGTACCGCAACCTCACATGGCCATTTTAGTCAGAACGTGCCGCAACCTCATATGGGCATTTTAGTCAGAACGCCCCAGCACCTGGGTTGAGGGCCGCCACAAGGATGGGAACCGGAGTCGGGAAGACGTAAAACTTGACACTGACTAGCGGCTCCTAGCAACCCCTAGAAGGGTGGTACGACCGGCCACGCGACCTCAGGGCGGCACCGACTGCTGCGGAGGGCGACCGCGGCGGCGCAGCCGGCGGCGAGGCCAGAGGCGCAACAACCAGCACGAGCGCCCCGCGGCGCAACTCCCTTGAGATGGCGCCCGCCCAGCTCCTGGGGCCGCCCTCGGCGCCTCCGCCCTGGGCGGCTCCTGCTGCTGGGGGCTCGGCCGCCGCCGGTCCCTCGCCTTCGGCGCCCTCCGCTGCCGCCGGCGCGGCCGCCGCGGGCCCGAGGTAGCCGCCTTCGTCGACGCGCGGGCAACGCGGCCGCACGCCCACCTCCCAAGGCGAGCACGCCAACCGCCGCGCGGCGGCAGCCTTCAGCTCCCAGTACGCCTCGGACCGGAGGCGCCTCGGCGGGGGCGCTGGCATCGCAGACCCCCTCCCGGGGCGCTCGTCCCTGACGGGCACGGTCTCGAAGAGCGCCGTCTTGAGGAGCGCCGGCTCATCGCCGCCCCTCGAAAGCGCAGCGACGCCCCAGTCCTCCGAGTGCGCATCGGCGTCCTGGTCGTCGTCGAGCGTGAGCAAGTCGTCGAGCGTGGGGCAGCGCGTGGGGGCCGAGCTGGGCACGTGCGGTCCGAGGCACTCCACCTTGCCCTTCCCCTGTGCGGCGAGAGGCCCCTCCATGTCTTGAGACCTCGCGCGCGGGCTGAGCATGATTGGCGGGGTGCCTTCTGGCAGGCTGGCGGCCACCCGCTGCAAGCTTCGAGGCCCCTGCTTGAGCCAAAATGGCTACGGAACCTCTGGAGGCGCTCTGGGGGCGTTTTGGCGGCGTCGTCGGCCGTCCTGAGGCCATCTTCGGCGTGTCCGGTGCCTCTGGGGGCTGTCTTTGCGCGTCCTGGGAACCCGGAAATCCTGTTCCCGGAGAGGCTTCCGGGAACATAATTTCGAACGAGGCTCTGAGGCCGTCTTGGGGGCCTCCTGGGCGGGCTTTGGGGCCTCTTGGGCCGTCTTGGGGGGTTCCGTGAGCCCCGCGGGACGATCTTTTTGGGCCGTCTTGGGCCCTCTTGGGTCTCTCCCTGGCTGTCTTGGGGCTCCTCGAGGGCGTCTGGGGCACTGCGAAGACGAAGCAAGGGAGTATGCTGAACATGTATTTTTTACTACAGGAGCGGGCTGATTTTTGCCTCGTGAAGGCCCTCTCGGGGCCCTCTTCGGCCATCTTGAAGCCATCTCGGGCCCTCCTGGGCCTTGCTGAGGCTGTCTTGTGGGCCTCTTGGGCGTCCTGGGAACCCAGAAATCATGTTCCCGGAGAGGCTTCCGGGAACATGGTTTCGAACGAGGCCCTCTTGGGCCTCCCTGAGGCCGTCTTGGGGGCCTCCTGGGCGGGCTTCGGGGCCTCTTGGGCCGTCTTGGGGGGTTCCGTGAGCCCCGCGGGACGATCTTTTTGGGCCGTCTGGGGCCCTCTTGGGTCTCTCTTGGGCTGTCTTGGGGCTCCTCGGGGACGTCTGGGGCACCCTGAAGACGAAGCCAGCGAGTATGCTGAAAATGTTCGTTTTACGAGGAAATGGGCCGATGTTTGCCTCTTGAAGGCCCTCTTGGGGCCTTCTGCGGCCATCTTCAAGCCATCTCGGGCCCTCTGGGGCCTCGCTGAGGCTGTCTTGTGGGCCTCTTGGGCGTCCTGGGAGCCCGGAAGTCATGTTCCCGGAGATGCTTCGGGGAACATGATGTCGAACGAGGCCCTCTTGGGCCTCCCTGAGGCCGTCTTGGGGGTCTCCTGGGCCGGCTTCGGGGCCTCTTGGGCCGTCTTGGGGGGTTCTGCGCGGAACGATCTTTTTGGGCCGTCTGGGGCCCTCTTGGGTCTCTCTTGGGCTGTGGTGGGGCTCCTCGGGGGCGTCTGCGGCACTGTGACGAAGCAAACGAGTATGCTGCAAATGTTCGTTTTACAAAGAAATGGGCCGATTGTTGCTCTTGAAGGCCCTCTCGGGGCCCTCTTCGGCCATCTTGAAGCCATCTCGGGCCCTCCTGGGCCTCGCTGAGGCTGTCTTGTGGGCCTCTTGGGCGTCCTGGGAACCCAGAAATCATGTTCCCGGAGAGGCTTCCGGGAACATGGTTTCGAACGAGGCCCTCTTGGGCCTCCCTGAGGCTGTCTTGGGGGCCTCCTGGGCGGGCTTCGGGGCCTCTTGGGCCGTCTTGGGGGGTTCCGTGAGCCCCGCGGGACGATCTTTTTGGGCCGTCTGGGGCCCTCTTAGGTCTCTCTTGGGCTGTCTTGGGGCTCCTCGGGGACGTCTGGGGCACTGCGAAGACGAAGCCAGCGAATATGCTGAAAATGTACGCTTTACGATGGGAATGGGCCGATGTTTGCTTCTTGAAGGCCCTCTCGGGGCCCTTTTCGGCCATCTTCAAACCATTTCGGGCCCTCTTGGGGCGCTCTTGGGTGTCTTCGGGGTCTCTTGAGGCTGCCTTGACCATCTGAACGGCCCGCGTGGCCTGTCGTGGGCAATTTGGAAGCGGCCCGGGGCAGTCCCGGGGGGCATGTGACCCCCCAAAGGTTCGGGGGGGCGCCCATATGGGGATGATGGCACCGGTTTTGGCCCCCCCCTGGCCTACTCCGATAATATATATATATATATATATATATATATATATATATATGTATGTATGTATGTATGTACGTATGTACATATAAGAATAGATTGTGTGTATATGTATATACTAGAACCATCGCGCGCGCTTCGCGCGCGCTCAGGTTCTAGCCCAGGCCGGGGGGGGGCGCTGGACGATCTTGGACAACGCTATGAAGCACAGGCGCGCGACGGCATCTGAGGAGTTTCTGGGGTGTTCCGCATGCTTCGTCAACTGGCTGTTGGAGGCACCTCTTGGGTGCCTCTTGGGGGGGCGTCTGAGGGTCCCTTGGGGGCATCGGTTCTGCAATCTGAAGCCGTCATTGGCCGTCTTGGCTGCGTGGAGGCCCGACTTGAGGCCACCTGCGGCCAGATTGAGGCAATCCGGAAGCCTCCCGGGGGCCTCCTGGAAGCAGTTTTGACGCATCGAGGGCACTCTTGGGCTATTTTAGACCTCTTGGACGTCTCCTAGGGGCCTTTTGGGCCCTCGGGAAGCTTTTGGGGTCCTCGTCAGACCACTTGGGGGCCTCTTGCGGCCTCCTGTGGGCCTGTGGGCGCTCTGCTGTTGGGTCGCGTTCCCCTTCTTGGGCCTCTCTTGGGGCTCTTGGGACCCTCTCGGGCCGTCTTGGGCGCCTCAAGCACCGTCTTGGGGCCCTCGCGGGCCGTCTTGGGGCCCTCTTGGAGGCCTCTTCCTCTATATTGGGAGCGGTATTGGAAGCCTCTTGGGCCGTCTTGGAGCATCGGGATGCCAAAAGGCAGAAAACATTAAACCCGTCAAAGCCCAATCGTAAAACAATGAGTTGTGCCTCTTGGGGCCACCTTGGGAGATCTCTTGGAACCTCGTCGGCCCTCTTGGGAGCTTCTTGGGGGCCTCTTGGATCCGATTGGGGGCCTCTTGGGACTTCCCGAGAACCTCTCGGGGTAGAAAGCTCGGATTCTCGGTTCGTGTTTCCCTTCTTGGGCCTCTCGTGAGGCCGTCTTGGGGCCCTCTCGGGCCGTCTTGGGCGCCTCAGGCACCGCCTTGGGGCCCTCGTGGGACTCGTGGGCCGCCCAGGGCCCTCTTGGAAGCCTCTTCAGCTATCTTGGAGCTGTCTTGGAGGCCTCTTCCTCCTCCTCGTCCACCTCCTCCTCCTCCCACTCCAGCTCTCTCTCCTTGAGATCTTCCTCCTCCTCCTGCAGCGTGTTCCGGAAGGCTCCCGCCGGAACATGCTGTGCACAAGTGCTGTCACTGCTCCCGCCACCGTGCCCTGGGTGGTGGGTCAGAGGCCTCATGGGTGTTGGTTTGGATCTCGTGGTTGGCCTGTCGGAGACGTCGTGAAGCCAGTTTCGCAGCTTCTCGATAGCCGTTTTGGGACCGTTGTGGGGCCTCCTCGGGGCTGTTTTGTGGCCTCTTTAGGCCTCGTTTGGGCCTCCTGGATGCCTCTTGGGGGCCTCCTGGGGCCTCTTAGGGGCTCCCTGGGGCCTCCTGGGGCACTCTTCAAGCGGGAGGGACGAATTTTGGAGTCGTGGTCCCCCTCTTGGGCACATCTTGGGGCCGTCTTGGGGCTCTGTTGGGCTGTCTTGGGCGACTCTGGGGCCGTCTTGGGGCCCTCTTGGGCCGTCTTGGGGCGCTCTTGGGGGCCTATTGAGCCGTCTGGGAACGTCGGACAGCCGAAAAGGCTGGAAGGCCAAAACCGTTCGAAAACCTTCGTTAAATCGACGATTTCGGTCTCTTGAAGAGCTCTGGAGAGGCGTCTTGAAGCGTCGTGGAGTGCCTTGGGGGGGCCTCTCGGGCCGTCTTGGGCCTATCTTGGGCGTCCTGGAGCGGTCTTTCGGCGACTCGGGGCCCGCTTGGGCCGTCTTGGGAGCCTCTGGAGGCCCTCCTGGACTATTTTGGACCTCCCCGGCCGCCCCGTCCTCCCATGGGGGGTCGGAGGCGGCGGCCTCCGAGACCCAGGACGCGGAAACCCTGCAAAAACATAGAAAACATGAGCCCCGGTACTCCCATGGAGGGTAGAGGCAGCTGTTTTCGGGGCCCAGGCCTGCCCCCCCCGTGATGTGTATATGTATGTATGTGTATAGATGTATATATATAGCTATATAGCTATATAGATAGATAGATAAATAGATAGATAGATAGATAGATAGATAGATAGATAGATAGGTAGGTAGATAGATAGACACACATACATACATACATACATACATACATACACACACATACATCCATACATACATACATACATACATACATGCATACATACATACATACATACATACGTACAGACAGACAGACAGACAGACAGACAGACAGACAGACAGACAGACAGACAGACAGACAGACAGACAGACAGACAGTCCTCCTCCTCCCTCTCCTCCTCCTCCTCCTCCTCCTCCTCTTCCTCCTCCTCCTCCTCCTCCTGCCGTTTCTGCCGTTTCTGCCGTTTCTCGCTATGCAGCGTCTTGTCATGCGCCCCGCGGCGCGGAGCGCACCGCAGCGGCCCAGCAGGGCCGTGCGGGCACTCAGACGGCGGCCCCGGGAACCCGACCCCGAGGGAGGGGAGGACCAGGGACCAATAATATCACGGAGGGGGAGGAAGGGGCCGGGTTTTCAAAAAAGAAGGGGGCCCGACAGGGCCCTCAGCGGGCGCCGCGCGCGCCCGCCCCCTCAGGCAGCGCGGCACGGCGCGCGGCCAGGCCGTCGGCCTCTTCGTGGGCCGGCGGCCGCGCGGCTGTGGTTCGGGAGCCAGAGGTACTGCTTGCCTCCGTAGTACGCGAACCTGCGGTACTCGTACTCGACCCAGTCGTACAGGTCGATGTTGCACTGCCTGACTCTGCGGAGCTCGGAGCTGTGCTGCTCGCCGCAGGCGTGCTGGCTACCGTGGTACAGCTTGGCTCCGTAGTTCACGATCTGTGACATGGCTCGATCATGATGGTCATCAGGGTAATGCATGGGACTAGTATGCAGATCCTGTGGTACTAAAACCAGACATGTTGGCTGGCGTGGTGGTACTTGGCTCGATGGTCCTCAGAACTCGCGGTGCTCGACTCATCAAGGCTGGTCGCCGTTGAATGCGGGTAGTGGTAGTGGGTAGTCGGTTGGTGGTCTTCGGCTGATCGTCAGTTGGTGGGCTGTGGTACTCGACTCCATCATGGTGGTCATCGGCTTACTGCATGAGAGCATGGCGTCGATCCTGCGGTACTCGACCCAGTCGCGTTCATTGACGTGGTAGTGCTTGACTCG